GCACCGCTTGCGGTGTGTTCTTCCCATGGCACAGAGAGGTGAGGGGGGGAAAGTGAACAGCGATGAAGGGAGGGTTGGGCACTCGGACCACAGGGAGGGGTGGTGGTGGTTCTAAGGGCGGTGGGATGTATGAGTTGTCGACGGGAGGGGATGAGTCGGCAGCTCAAGCGATGTCAGGGAAGGGGGAAGTGCTGACAGAGAGACCTCGGGAGGAAGGGAAAAAGAGGTCGGGTGGAGACGTTGAAGTTGGGGACTCACGTCAGACAAGGGAAGTGCTATCTAAGAATGTACAGCAGACATCCGAGGATGCACAACGGACAGAGGCTGAGGTCTCTGGGGGAAAGGGTGGATGGCCTGAGGGCAAGAGGGGTCAGGAGGGTATTGCGCACGCTGGGGGGGAAAGTGTGTCGCGAAGGGGGGAAACGGCGGTGGGTGACTTGGAAAAAGGCGTGTCTTCAAGTCTAGCAAAAGGGCTGACGCACATCACGGGAGATCGGGGCAGAGAGATGTGGGAGAGTCATGTCCCTGCGAGTCGGGGAAGGAGTCTGACGAGAGGCTCGGGGGCAGGGGAAAGGCGCCTAAGCGCAGATCAGAGGATGGCAATGGAGGCAATGGCAATGTCAGGGTTTCACGCGTTAGCGCCGCGAAGTAAGAGGGGTGGGGAGGAGTGCTACTCACGGCGAACAAGTCAAATGCGCAGAAACAGAAGGTCACAGACACCTGACGCGGGTCATTTTTTTTCTCGTACGTCAGGTGATGGGGGAGGCAAAGTGCCCATGAAGGAGGAAGAAAAGCGCAAGAGGGGGGCTGGTGCCCAGGTGGAGGAAGATGGTAGAGGGAGCAGTGCCTCGGACGAGGGTGGTGGAGGGGATGGAGAGTCCCTTGGTGGGCAGCCACCGGGTGGGGGGAAGGTGAGAGACACATCAAGGGCGATCCTTGACTTGTTACAGTCGCACATTGGGGGTGATGTGGAGGCTCTCCAAAGTCTGGTGTCTACAATGGGGGGAGGTGGAAGAAAGGAACCAGCGAGATACAAGAGAAATCTCGACAGGTGGAGGTGAAGGGTGAAAGAGGTGCACAGTATTGCGAGATTAAAAACAAATCTCGAGAGGTGAAGGTGAAGGGTGAAAGGGGTGAGAAGTACTGCGAGGTTAGAAACAAATCTCGAGGAGTGATGGTACAGGGTGAAAGGGATCGGAGATTAAAAACAAATCTCGAGAGGTGAAGGTGAAGGGAAAAAGGAGTGAACGGTATTGCGAAGTTGAAAACAATTCTCGCGGAGTGGAGGTGAAGAGTGGAGGGGGTGAACTATATCACGAGATTGAAACGAAATCTCGAGGGGTGACGGTGCAGGGTGAAAGAGGTCCCGGGTACAATTGTGATGAGGAAAAGAAATACCGCGGGCAGAAGGAAAGAAAGCAGAGCCAAATCCCGGGATCAAGGCAGACTCTCGGGGGGGCTGGGGGAAAGGGAAAACAATCATCACACGAGAACATCGAAGACGACTCGGAGGGTGGGATTGTAGAGGAGGAGGGGGGCCGATCGGTGGTGCACAACACCGAGGGTGATGGCCTCGCGACGGGGAGCGTCTCGTCCAACCACGGTAAGCGACGTTTTTCAGTATCTAAGGAGTATTCCAAGCAGGGTGGAAGTAATTATCCCAAACTGCAAGTGGTTTCGGGTGCTGATAAATTGAGCTGCACGGGTGTAGGCCGTGGGAGCAAGAATGTATTGGGGAGTAGGCCCCCGCAAGAAATTCTTGGTCATAGTGTGTCGCAAGATGCACGTGTACAGCTTCAGGAACGAATCACTAGTAAGACACACAGGGATTTTCCAGAAGTAGGGGTGCCGAACACGCCCCCTTCGTCCGGCCAGACGAAGTCTAGCATTGGCACAATGGGAAATGTTTATGACAATGCAAAACCAGTGGAGAATGCGTCAAACACTCAAAGGAAGGAAATACGCAAGGCAAATTCTCCGAGGGCAGTGAGGTGTCCGCTGGATCCTCAAGCGGAGCACACGGCTGGTAGCAATGGTGCCAAAAAGGGGTCGATCAATAGGGACACTAGAAAGGGAAAAAGCGTCACCGTTGATCGTGCTGGCAGCAAGCAGAACCATGAAACTGTTGCTTTACCAGTGATAGAAGAAGAGGGCGTGATAGGGGATGCATCCGCCTCTGAGAATTCTCTCAAGCGTGAGGTTGAGGAAACAGCGCAGGAGGGAGGAATTTTTGGTGAAGCACAAGAAGGAACAGATCGCATTTTTGCCGTACAAGTATCTGTTAGTTCTGTGTCAGGACAAAGGAGTAATGCGGTGTACCCTCCGCCTCCTTTTACGTTCGCTACAGGTGAAGCGGCGGACTACCTGTCACCATATACTCGGTCGGTCGGTGGGGATTTGACGATGGATCGACATCGGCATACGACTAGAGTGCAAGTGTTCGCGGGGTCGAGAGCGACAAAGATGATGTCGTGGGAGGCTCTGTTGGATACGGGAAGTCCGGCATCGTTTGTACAAGAAAGGTGTGTGCAAAAGATGTTAGCATGTGGTTCAGCTTCAGCTGATAGCATCGGAACAGGACTAAACAAGAAGTGGGGTGGGTTCCATGGGGTGCCGTTGGTTACAGATCGAAGAATGCGATTAAATATTGAAATGTGGAAGGGCGGAAAATCAGCGCCGGTTCATTTCGGTACACCGACGGTACGGACGAGTGTGTATGCGTACATCGTGCCAGACTCAGCTATGGGACATGATCTGATACTAGGGAGGGATAGTTGGGCTGGTTTTCCAGTTCGAAGATTCCAAGACGTGTCGGACACAGAAACATTTGTCACTTTTGTCGGTGAAAGTACTGATAAGGTGGCAGGAGATCACCGCTTTGATGAATGGGTGGGTAAGGCGGTTGGTATGGTGGAAACGGAAGGTAATGGAAAGGTGGTGGTGAAATCTGATGGTAGTAAACGATGGCTTCCAAATGCAATGCCATGGGCTGAGGTAAAATTAACCAACCTAGATGGCAGTGACGCTGCGGTGGGGACGTACCGTGTGCAGTTTGGGAAAAAATGGTTCCCGCAGGAAGCATTGGTCGAAAATGGCACGTCGGAAATTCCTCTCAAAAGAGTGGGGGATAGCTCGTGTCTGGTGAAACCCAAAGATATTTTGGGGTATGGTGGTGAACCCCTGGAGGTGGTAAATTTGGATGATGCTCGTTTGGTGGAAAATGAGGAATTCAAAAATGTATTTGCGGTTAAGGAGGGTGAAGAGGCTGACGTGCCNGCCTCCGCACATTCGAGACGTCCATTTCGACTTCAATGCGAAACTGTGGGAGCCGGAAGACATTGACAAACTGGGTGATTTATTGTGCAAGTTTGAGCATCGTTTTTCGAAGGGTGGTTCGGTTTTAGGACGGGTGACGGTGGATCCGTTTCGAATCATTTTGAAGCCGGGGGCACA